TTTGCTTTTATTTTGGCTTAAAAACCTTGCACAATGTCTGATGTTCATTGCCGTCCAAATTCCGGTTTATAACCGATCAAACCCATCTTTTATGGTTTATTATGTGTGAAAATACCTTTGCTCTTGCCACCCCCAAACCTAGCACACAATCCATTACTAAATATAATTATGTAGTTGCTCATCTTCCTCCAGATATAGCATCTCTAGTGTGGGAGTTTACTTATGAAACCAGACCTGTTGATCCATATACAAAGCTCAAAACTGAGTTAATAATCGTTTAGGAGAATCCTCAGCAAGAAATTTGCCATTATTATCTGGAGAAGGAATTATGCTTCTTGAAAACCTATCCGATTTGCTTAGCAATATGAAACGTCGAAGCAGAATCTTTAAATGTTCCAGATAACTTAATGTTAGAATTATTCCTTCAACGTTTGCCTTCGAATGTTCAGTCTATTTTTGCAGCGGTTTCCAATTTAACTGCAGATAAAGGTGCAGAAATTGCCGACAGAATTTTAGAAGTAAATCCAACCCCAGGACTTGTGCCGTTTCTTTCACAGTCGATCAGTCTTTTGAGGATAAATTATTTAAACAAATAGAAAAATTAAACCAACGTATTGATCCCATTTCTGTTTCTCGTGGTCGTTCGCCAAATCGCGGAGATCGCAATAACGAAAGAAGCAATTCCAAAAGGAGAGATTATTCTGTTTGCTGGTATCATAGACATTTTGGGGAAAAGTGTAGAGAAGACAAATGTACAAAACCTTGCTCATGGCAGGGAAACGAAACCAGCAAAGAATAGAGGTGACTTATTCTTTGCCTCAAGTTTCACGTCGCCTGTTTGTTCCTGACTGTAGAACATGAACATTATTTCATGGAAATAATTTAAATATTTGACACTCAGTATTTTGAACCATTTTTAATGTTAGCGTTATAAATTTGCAGGTGACGTATATAATACAAAATTTAGAGGGAAAAGTTTTTGGATATTTTACTTATTTTATACGTGCAAATGTTCATCCTTAGAAAGGGTATATACTTTTTCGCGATCAGGTAATTTCATATACAGTCAAAAGTCGTTAATTCGGACACCCATAATCCGGAATGATCTATATTCCTGACACCCATAATCCAGAATGATCTATAATCCTGACCTCAAAGCTACAAACTTTCTGCTACACATGCGCATAAGACCTTTACGGCTGCAAATATGCGTGTGCGTATGCGTGTTTGATGTATAATGGACGGTATAAGCTAAGCAAAATTATCTAATTCAGTTAATGTTGCAGATTACATTGTTCCTTAATCTTCGAATTGGACCTGGTTTATTATTTTTTGCAGACTGTTAGAGCAATTTTATAAAAGTAAGCTTGAACTTTCGATTATGTCAAATAGAATTTCCGATATATATTTACTAACATGTAAAGGATCTACAAAGCAAAAGTATGTTTCAAAGTCCATTAAACAAAAAGTGGAATTGCTGCAAAAAATAGATAAAGGTATAATCCTTTATTTATCGAACCATTCCGAAATCTGTTTATCACTTTCACGCTGCTCTGCAGCAGGGGGAGGGGGGAACGCCGCGGCGCACAATGAATTGGAATTTGATCTGTCAGCACTATCCTTATCTTCAGGGCAGATGTTTATATTTTATTTGGTTTATAATTTCTTACTAAATGTAGTATTTCATCTCGATGTACTCCGTCTTTGATATGATTTAAATCAAATTCCTCGTCATTATAATTCGCTTCCAATAGTGAAGAAAGTTACAGAGGTTATTGAAAACGAAAAAATTTCGATTGACAAATTAGTCGATATTCTCGACACAGCAATTATAGGACTTGAACAGCGGAAATTTGTAACTGAAAAAGAAATTATGTCTGTTTATAGAATTAAAGAGAAAGTATTATCACATGTTAACTTCCTTTTGTAGTTGAATTAATCACTCGTAAAATGGGTGTAAAAGACAAACATTTATTTAAAGATAAATCTTAATAACCTACACGTAACGTATTCGTAAACGTACATAACAAACGTACTTACTGCATCGTACCATTAAACATTTCAAGCGTACATCATCTCAATGTATATTTAAAAAAAAAATTATAAATAGAACGACATCCAGAAATTAGCTGTTGCCATTTTCTCAATAGATATTTTGTCTAATAACAATTAAATAATTTACAATCGTGCTTACACACATAAAACGAAGCAACTTAAACAACTTACATCGAAAGAAATGTTTAATAAAGTAAACAAATAAATATTAAGCTTTTTTTTTTTTTTTTTTTTTTTTTGTAAATTTTGATACCTTTTAGATCATAATTGTTCTTTATTTCATAAATTACGGTTTCATATTTTTAATTTTATAATTTCTGCATGCCGTCTTACCAGATTTAAACTGATGATCTATAATCCGGAATCGCCGAAGTCTCGAAGAGTCCGGATTAACGACTTTTGACTGTATGTCATTTTTACCGACTTTAAAGATTCACAAAATTTTCCTGCATCTTCGTTGAAATTTTTCTAATTTATGAGGAAAAAGCAGTGTACATGGATAAAGTTAAGAGTGTGCGCAATGCCATTTTTGTGCAATTCTGGGATGTTTTTTTAAGTAAAAATAGGCTGACGTGCACATGAAAAAAAAAAAAAAAAACGCGGCGAGGAGTTTGCGATTTCTCCCAATTTTGCAGTGATTAAGCACTTTTGTTCCATAAAATCTCTAGCCTAAGTGTAATTCGGCTAGCAGATTTTTGGAAAAAATGTTGAGTAAGTAAAAAGAAAAGAAACCTGTCTTTACTTCGTGAAGACAAAGTGGCGGCGAAAAAAAAAGTAGAAGGTTGCTGTAGCAGGGTTGGTTGCCAAATTTTCGCCAAGTTACCATATTCCAAAGATTAACTTTTTGCTCAATCCCTAAATTATGCCATTTTAGTATCTATCTTATATAATGCTAATGACACAGACTCTTACATAAAGACCTCAGCCAATCAAAACTTTAGAAAATAATTATTAACCAACAAAAATTAAATAGGAATCATCACCAACTTATTTTGGCCCAAGATTTCATCTTGTACATGTCACATTTGCTCTCTGCTATTCTTCCAAACTAGTTGCTGGTTTTCTTCATCTTAAAAAATGTTAAACTTCTACACCGCTTTATATCTGTGTTGGCTAAATAAATGTTCATCAATAAGAATAAAAATGAAAACAAATTCAAGTATGACTGCAACTACTACATCTTTTATCTACACCACTAACCACATACCAGATTATTTCATATATATATGTATATCATTTATATACAGTTTTATAAATGAACATTATTTGGTTTTGCATTTTACATTTATTTTGAACAACAAACACTAATGATGATAAGGAACTGACCAAAATAACAATGCAGATATTACTTCAATGCTAGAAGTACAAATGGTTAATCTTTGGATTATGGTAACTTGGCGATTTTTTGGAGACCAACCCTGCTACAGCAACCTGCTAGTTTTTGTTTGGACGCCATTTTGTTTTCATGAAGTAAAGGCATGTTTTATTTTTTAACTCAACATTTTTTTCTGACAATCTGCTAGCCGAATTACGCTTATGCTAGAACTTTTATGGAACAAAAGTGCTTAATCATGACGAAGATTAGGTGCGAAATTGGGAGAAAGGGCAGAATCGCAAACTGCTTGCCGCGTTTTTAAGAACTGCACATACACGGTATCCATGTACACGTCGACCTATTTTCACTTAAAAAAAAATCCCAGAATTGCACAAAAATGGCATTGTGCACACTCTTGACTTTATCCATGCACACTGCTAAAGTCCTAGCTAGTAACCTTTATCGCCTTACTAAAATGTCTGCAAACTACCTGTTACCATATTCCAAAGATAAGACGTACAAACTACAGAAAAGAAGAATTGTTTCCAGAATCCTTATTTATAACAGGCAGATTTCAGTTTGAATGCTATGGATTTTGTGCACTTACGTAACTGTGAATTTATGCAAGTCGGGAGATTATACTATACACATTTACGTTAAACATTGGTTAATCTTTGGATTATGGTAACTTGGCAATTTTTTGGTGACCAACCCTGCTACAGCAACCTGCTAGTTTTTGTTTGGATGCCATTTTGTTTTCACGAAGTAAAGGCAAGTTTTTTGTTTTACTCAACATTTTTTCCAACAATCTGCTAGCCGAATTATGCTTATACTAGAACTTTTATGGAACAAAAGTGCTTAATTATGACGAAGATTAGGTGTGAAATAGGGAGAAAGTGCAGAATCGCAAACTGCTTGCCGCGTTGCACATACACGGTATCCATTTAAACGTCGACCTATTTTCACTTAAAAAAAAAAAATCCCAGAATTGCACGAAAATGGCATTGCGCACACTCTTGACTTTATCCATGTACAAAGCTAAAGTCCTAGCTAGTAACCTTTATCGCCTTACCAAAATGTCGCCAAACTACTAGTTACCATATTCCAAAGATTAGGCAAAACATTTAATGCTCTCTTGGGACCCTAAGCAATTGTAAGCAAATCTGTTAAATTATTTCTCTCATATTTCCACTTTTAGCACTGTATGTATAAGTATAGTAAGTGTTTACAAAAATTTTAAATGTAATTTCAAATTACATGCAATTAATGTGTGTTTCATGCAGCAGTGTTTTTATGTGACCCTCTAGTTTCTCTACACCAGAGAACACTCACACACAAAATGTTGAATTTAAAGTACTACTGATTGTTACTTAAATGCACATAGGCAAGATTAGTACTTAGCTCCCCCCCCACACACACACACAAGGGAAAAAAAATATATAGATCGAAGACTAGTACCAATAAGTACACTCGAAAGAATTATATCAAAATTTTTATGTACTTTTTACTGAGAAAAGCACTTTTTGAGCTGAATTTCCCTCACCCATGACAGATGTAACTGCATCATTTTCACTAGATACAAATAAATTTTATAATTAAATTTACTATGAATTCATAAAAAATATCATACCTTCGATGCATCTCGAGTCACGCCCAGAACTGAAAATATAAGTATTCAATAAATAACACCGCCAATACCTAATTAAAATAAAAATAAATAAGGAATCGCTTTTATAAATAATTCTCGAGACATCATAAAAAAGTGTTTACGTCTCCCCATCATATACCTGAATAACAATCATGTTGGCCACAGTATAAACTGTCTATTAAAGCAAATGTAGAATCAAAAAACAACGCCAAAAAAAGGGTTGATAAAATAACTGAATACATATTTAATTTTGTCTTAACTAGGGAAAGGAGGGAGAGAGGAAAGAAAAACATGAAATTGATGTTGCCAATATACTGCAAACAAAACTTAATAATAGAGCAAGGCAGACAGACAGATACAGTAGACAGATGTCTTGTGTTGCACCGTTGTACGAAAAATCACGCTTAGGTGCCAAGAAAGGGGGACAATTTCGTATTTCAGAGGAGAGTAAAAAGGAATTTCGTATATTTTATAGGAATTCGAAAGGCCAGGAAGAAAAGATGGGACAAAATAAAATTAAAAATAAATGGCCCAAAAGTAATCGAAAGAAAAAAAAATTAATAAATAAATAATTAAAAAAAGGCCTATAGAAAGAAAAGGAAAAGAAGTAAGAGAATTTTTCTAAAGAAAAAAGCGATTGTGGCCATGAGTGAAGTCAAAAGGGAAGGAAGCTGTTGTCATTCACATTAAATAGTATTTTCCAGGTGTGTGTGTGTAGTGGAACATAATTTAATGTTTCTATATAATTATTAAGACTTCCTAAGTGGCAACAAGATGTAATGTTTTGAATAGTTATTAAGATTCGCCGTGTGGCAACAACGAGTCGAACTAAAAAGGTCGTTACTTGGAGTGTTCTTTGATAAGCGTTTCGTAAGCTTTATTTCTTAAAAGTTTGTTATATTTTTATGTAAAAAATAAGTAACATGTTGCAAACAAAAATGGAAATTGTAAAAATAAATATGCTGTTTCTTTTAAGACCAAAATAAGCCTTTAGTTCACTTATGAAATGCTCTGGCTGATGAGTTTCGATTTCGCTTATTCATCAAATCCACATGTGTAGTGAGTGTGTTTGGTAAAGCTGAATGGATGTGAAGATGGGGGGGGGGGGGAAATTAAATATAAAAATATAAATTTTGGGGGTCCAGTCACTTAACAGTTTAAGTCTAGTTTAGAAGCGAACTATTGGTATGACGGGAAACTAAAAACTATAAAAATTTTAAAGTATTTTTTTTCTTTTTCTTTAACATAGGGAAGACAAGGCTATGTGTTTGCCTCTACCTTGAGACACAGCAACGAAGAACACATAATATCAGACAAAATTATATATTAACTAAAAAAACATCGTCTATTGCGGTGTCCAACATATTCATGCATTTTTCAGAAAAGAGCATCAGACTAAATCATAAATCCATACAGGGCGAGAGCATATCAGCAAAAATAAATAAGAAAAAAAAATACAGAATTAATTTTAATATTAATTAATTTTTTTAATTAAAATTTTATGTATTTATCAATTTAACCGTCCAAGATCGCCTTTTTAGACCCGATACGTAGTCTAAAAAGTCTAATAGGCGTCGCTACTGATAAGGACTACTAATAACGATAGCGTCCCTATGGAATAGTTACCAAAAAGGGAACCACATGATTTAAAGCAATTACTAAGTATTTAACATAATAAAATCAGCATAATAATAATGAACATAATAAATAAATGAATTTAAAGGTACTTCAGTGACAGATATTTGATTTAGTTTAAGGAAAAGAAGTTCTACTTATCTGAATGTTTCATCTTTGTGTTACAGCGAAAGATATCAAGGACAGAAAAATCACACCAAAATACTGAAAAATGCTAAACCGAAATTAAACTAAAAATCCAAAATAAATATCCCACACAATTAGATACAAACGTGAAAACTAGAATTTTTTTATGTGCACGAAAGAATGTATACTAAAAATTTCCTCGAAGACAGAGAACAATACGAACATTTTATCAATGGGCTTTGGTGCGTCCTTGACTTTTGATTTTCTACCAGCTATTATTCTGCGAACGATACCTAGAACTGAAAAATCAGCAAACATACGTTTTATTTCTTTGATTCTTTTTAAAGAAATTATTAGAAAGATAATATTAAAGAACTATATTAAAGAAAGATTTATTTTTTCCGAATTTTTACGTTGTTTGTGAACACGTTTTTCAGGCCGGTTATAGGTTACTGTGGATTTTGCAAAATTTGCTTCAGGTTTTTCTGTATTTTTATCATCAAGAATTTCGCTACTAGTTTTTTCAGCTGGCGTTTTGGAACTTTGTACAGTTTCCCCCTTAAGAATGGACAATATAGGATCAATTTTCTTACCCACGCTTCTTAGAAGGTGCCATTGAAATTTTGGAGTCCTTTTTTTTTTTCAGATTCATAGTGTTTTGGAAACATTGCCTAAAATTTGCTGAGTGACCCAATTACAATTACAACGTTTAAGATTTTTTATCCTCTTACTCTCACATTCTGAATATTTATGATCGCCAGCACACTTCACAACCTGGGGAGGAGTTTACACTGGGGAGGAATGGAAGAAATGCTGGCAGTTTAATACATTGTGAGACATCACCTTTAAGTTGGTAACTTTCCACAGAGACAAAAAACGCAACATATTTTGAACATCATAGATTCTTTCTGTTTCAGGTTCGTTGAACAACTCAATCTGGAAGATTAGCACGGGAACCCGTGTTCCGAGTTTAATAATATTAGAAATTTTGATTTTGTTAAAAACCATCCTCAATTAATACGGTTTTACATCACCAACAGCAGTGTCAAAGGGCATTCCTCTCAAAACTACCTTAAATGGTTTAGTTGTTTTGGCATACATTACATAATGTTGAACATCTTTCATTTCTAAATACAGTGCCCTTTTTCAGTGACCATCAATGTCGACTGGGAAAATTTTAAAGAAATTCACGCCTGATCTTAGCTGTAAAAATATCATTAACATCATCTATAAGTTCCTTAACAAATTCTTTAACTTTTAGAGGTGGTATTATATGGTATTTTCTGCCTCAATCGAGCATGCCTTCGTGGTGTAATAGTAGCACACTTGGCACGTATTCGAGAGGTCCAGCTCCGGTGAAGGGATTCCAAATTTTTCACATCTTTTACTTCAAAATAACCAAGAGACTCTACAGTATCACCGTAATTAGTTTTATTCTGGATGTCTTTAGAATATCCATAGCTACAATTTCTATATTATAATTTAGAATATTCTCGTCCGATAGTATTCGGAGAACAGTCTTGACGCAAACTGCGCAAACAAGGCTGTTCTGCAAATTTTACCCTTCTTGTCAGTAACATTTTCAGAATTATTCGCATAATCATTATCCAAAAGAGAAAAGTTATTTCCAGTATTAATATCACTTTTACTTTTCAATATTTTGGCAAAGTGTCAGGTTTTCTGCGGGGAGACAAAAGCCGTCATCGGTTAGTATTTGATCCGATCTACTAGATTTTTGAGCACTTACAGCTATATCCGAATTTTTACAAGAACTAGAATTAAAAATTTTACTAGAGCTATTTTGAATTACACCCCAGTCATCAATAGTAGAATTCTTATTGCAATATTCAGCTTTGGTAATTTGAACACTATTAATAACATCATAATTTTCCTTAGAACTAATAACAGTAGAATTTTTATCATAATTAGCACCATCCTTAAGCATATTTGCACCTTAATCTACAGCAGATTTACTATGTGTCCGAAAAATTTCACATTTGCTTTGTTATACTGCCCTGTATGGCAGCAACTTGAAAATCCAGCATCGGGTGGATGCTGGCTCTTATCTCTTTCATGGATTTCCTTTAGAAAGTCGTCACACACATTGCGTATGTAATTGACAGTGCGTAACACACATTGCGTGCAGAATCCTCTGAGAGTTTAGCGCATTTATAAAATCAAATTGATCATAATGTTTTTCGTTCAGTAAATCTGTCAGAACTTGATCCACTTTAGCGGGAGGATAATCACTACACCAGTCCGAAATATTCGAAATATCAATGCTATTTTCATAATCACTTGTAAATTCACGTTCGGTACCATAACAAAAAATAAATAATTCGAAAGTAAACTTCTAAGCCCAACACAGTTCGAAATACTCGGAGGTAACGAATAATACGCTGTTGCCGAAGTTAGTCTCTCTTGATGGCTGTTATCTATGTAACTGTATCTATTATTATCATTAATCATAACTGTAATATAGAAATAGTAGATTAGCAATGTAGAATAAACGATGTTTGTGTACGTCTTGTAATCATCACTGAGCACATATCCAACATAAAAAAATAATACATGGCGCAGTCGACCGTAGATTAAAAAAGATTTTTTTTTTTTTTTTTTTTTTTTTAAGAACTATGCAGCGTCAATTGTGAATAACTGTATATTCTAAACAAAAACACAATGGGAAGTTGTTTACAGTGAAATCGAAACTTACATCGCTGGTAAGTGCGTTGTCTACTTTTATTCGAAGTGGCTAAAAATACGTATACGTATATATAAACTATTTAAAGTCTTAAATTAAATGTGGATGGATTAAAGCCACTAAGTAATCTAAATTTCGAAGGTAACTTAAGCGAAATTTGGAACAAGTGGAAACAAAAATTTTAAATTTATATGTTAGCGTCTGGTGGTATTACTAAATCACTTGAAATTAAAGCAGTTATTTTATTGCATATTATTGGTGAAGAAGCAATTGAAAAGTTTAATACTTTCAATTTCAGAAGATAAGAAGGATGTTGACACAGTAATTGAAGCGTTCGAAAATTATTGCATACCGAAAGCAAACGAAAGTCCTGATAGACGTTTATTTTTCTGTCGAACATAACATGTAGATGAATCGTTTGGTATTTTTTTAACTGATTTAAAGAAATTAAGTAGCAACTGTGGATTTGCAGAATTAAAAGATAGTTTAATAAGAGATGGAATAGTAAGTGGAATTCTAAATAAAAATCTCAAAGATAGATTATTAAGGGAAGATCAGTTAACATTGGAGATATGTATTAAAATGTGTAAAGCTTCTGAATTAGCAGAACTTAAGTTGAAAAACTTAACTGAAGAAAATAAAATAGAAGTGATCAAACGGAATAGAATTCAGACGTGCTCGATTGGTGAAAGGTCTGGTGACCTTGCTGGCCAAGGAAGAGTATCAACCGCACGGAGACAGTCCAGAGATATGTGAGCGGTATGTGGCCGGATATTAATTTGTTGGAAAATGGCCCTAGGATGACGTGCCATGAAGGGTAATGCA